CCGTCTCCCCCCCCCGCCCCCCCCCCCCCCCCTCAATCTGTACAAAATGGATCCAACAGACTAACCACAGCATAAAAAGGATCTATGGACACTAGGGATGCCCCGATTCCGATAATTATATTTCTGTACTCACCCAATACCAAATACAGATACTTCCGCTAGCATGGAGCTGACTCCCCAGGCAATCAGGAAGCTGGCTCCATGTTAGAGGAAACCTCCCTCTGACCAGAAGCTGCAGTATCGGTGCATTTGGGCGAGAACGAGAACTCACCCAAATAACATTATCAGTGCATCACTAATGGACACTACCCGGGACCCCGTCACCAAAACGCATTCCATGCACAGTAATTGACAATGACCCGAGAAGCCGCAGCCCTCGCTCCAGCAATACATACCTTCTCAAAGTGATGAATAGCAAGCCAGATTTCACCCTGTGCATTAAACACACATCCGAGATTGCTCCAAGCAACTGCAAAGTTTGGCTGTGTCTCAATTGCTTTCAGATAACAGGCCTTGAAGTGTTGGAAAGGAGGAAGGTGGTGGGAGAGGAGGGTTTGAGGAAAAAAAACAAGATAAAAAGAGAAGTTACATTTGATTCTCCAAACAGCAAAAAGTGAACCTGCAGCATAGGCTCAGCAAGCGCGGGATTGGCCGCGCAATTCCTTGAGACCTACGCCAACGCAAACCTAAACCCTAATGCAAGCTGCCATTTGTGAGTTAGGCCTTACGATGACAACCTCAGGTGTAAGCAGAACGTAAATCGGCGAGATGGAATCTCATGTCGGTGGTTATGGTCGCATTCACCATACAAAGGTCACGAGGACAAGTCTAAGGCGGCACAGAAACCAGAAATGACAGACTTTCACACAGGTCTAGGTCCCTGTAATGCAGGCGCCAAAAGTCGCAGGCGCTCCCATGCTACCCAGCAATTCTACCGCTATCGCAGCGCTTCGCCGCCGGAATATGTGAACAACCAACCTGATCTGTTGATCCCAAAGAACAAGTAAAGAAGGAAAGAGTTGACGCTGTGCCCAGTCCCCTGTCCCCCTTATATCCCTAAACGGCAAAAAAATACCCCAACCAGACTTTGGTAGGCCGTGGGTTAACCATCAAGTTGGCCGTTCACAACCATTTCACCCACGCAGAGAGCAGTCCGCAGCCTTTGCGTTACCGCAGGTTCACAGCGCGTGATGAGGAGCAGAACGATTCAGTCCAAACAAAGAAATAAAAAAAGGAAAAAAAATAATGAAACATCTGGAAGAGTTAGAAGCTTATTGTCTAAAAACTGGCTCCAGTGTGTCTCTTATGATCTATGATTCCATTACAGAATTGTGGCATAGAGAGAGATTTCTAGATTTTTAACTGCTTGTAAATAAAACAATTTTAAGCCATTTCTGAAGCCACAAGACAGAAGGATTCAGGCATGGAGCAAATGGTTTTTGTTGTGGCAGTTACAAACCCGTTACCATATTTCATGGGACTTTGCGGTGCGTTCCTTGCTGGAAGAGGAGGAGGTGCATTGTCTGCCTACATCCAGGCCTCGAGCTCCCTTCAGCGAGGCACCTTACGCATGGAATAGCAGTTTTCACCCACCTGAAACCTTCTAAATACAATATCAGTGGTAAAAAGCCAAAAACAAGAGAGAAAATAAAAACAATATCATTAGTAAAAGATCTCAACAAAGCAAGTGAAATGCTTCTGGATATGCTCTAATAATTTAGACAAGGACATGTCAAGCTGACCGCTATGTTTGATCATGCAGGGGCTGGGGGGTCAGGGGGGGGTGTTGGTGGCAGAGTGCATGGCTGGAAGAAAGGCTTTCATAGGTCACCCCAGACAAAGTTACACGTTTTAGGATGGAGGAGGACAGCTGGCTTGATAGTGAAATGCACTGATTACAAAGAAAGTCAGATTCTAAGGTCTGATCCCTTCAAATTCTTTTCTGAAGAAAACAAAAAAATAAGTAGAATAAAAGACGCTCAAACTAGATGCCTCCAGTCGTCTGAAATAAAGAAATCAGCAGCATCCTAGGCGGGCGCAATTTGCTCCTATGCCAGTGTCGCTAAAGCAGCAGTGAAGTGCAAGAAGTGTTAGCTGTCCATATGATTGGCTGAGAACCCCAAATTCAAGGAAAAAGTCAATCCTTTGGCCAATATAGATTCCCTTCTACTCTGGAGATCTCGAGCACTACCCCCCGCCACCCCAAACTTTACTACAAATGGTACCAAGTGAGAAGGTCTCATGACACATGGACAGCTACTCTGCAATTACACTCCATGCGGTTGCATGCGCGTGGGGGTTTGGAGTAACAGAAGCCTTTCAATGCGGTCCTCGCGTTCCTCCTAACTCCGTACCCTAGCAGCGCAGACGCACAAGGTGGCTTGTAACAAACCCGCTGGATCCCACAATTACCATCACAAACAGTGCAAAGCTGTCACATTGAAGGACAATGATTTCCTTGGGCTATTGTATGTTCAATGCTAGAAGCCACCTTCAGCCATCTAATTCTTTCCATCAGTCCATTTACTGAATACAAACCAGCCTCTGTCCTTTACTAATCCGATTGGCCATCCAAGTGATGACATGAGCACGAATCCATCATTTACAATTACCAGCCTTTCTTCCATAGACGAGGATCACAGGAGGCAGAACCATGGGGGGCAGGGGGAGGGGGCTCTTTGGTGGTCTTTGTTGTGCCTCTAAGTTCATCAGCTAGGATGACCTAGTGGACCAAAACCAAATTGGGAACAGCTTTCAAGTCAAATCATGGAGAGAATTAGGAAATACCTTTACAAATTGATAGCCTCCAAAGGGTTACATGGCTCCCCTGAGATTGGAGGCAATTCGGGGTCATTGACAGTAACATTGTACGAAGCTAAACTGAGGCAGAACTAAAGACTCAATGCACAGAGGCTGCCAAGAGAAGACATTGACCATCCGGATACTCAAAACGTACCTTAGCTTCTTCTAAGCGACCTAGGGCTTTGAGTAGATTACCCAGGTCACTACGGACACAGTACAAATCCTGCAAGAGAGGAAGACAAGAAGAGCAGCTCAGAGACCGGAACTCTATCCATCCGCACCAACCCACCACCGTCATCAATAGAAAGCCACTTACAGGATTGTACTGAAGGGCAGAGACGTAGGCCTGCACCGCACCCTCCATGTCACCAGCAGCCACCAACGCCGCGGCCAGGTTGATGTATCCATCGATGAAGTCCGGTTTTAGCCGTAGAGCATGTCTATAATGTTCAATGGCTTCTTGTAGCTGTCCTCGCTCTTTGTAGACATTTCCCAGGTTGGAGTACGCCTCTGCCAGTAATGGATTCTGCTTAATTGCCAAAGTGCTAAAGTGGGCAGACCTGGAAAGACAAAGTATGACGGGGGAAGTCAAAGACTGCAGAGGAAAGCAGGAATTGATTTGTACCTCTACCCCCAGCAGGAGAGCCCACCGCTCCACCCCAGCAGGTCAGCAGATATTTCTTTGTACGTATTGAACAAATATGAAACATTGAAAGTGTTTTGTTAGAACAGCAGAAAAAGAAGTTCAGGGTTAGTAAATATAAAAAAAAAAAGGAAATCATTTTATACATTTTGAGAAGATGACACGTGAGCACAACGTCATAAATCAATCGGTGACATTAAACTCTTTATAAAGTATTCGCCTCCAATGAAGACGCTTTCAGAACACATTCCCAATATGTTACACATGGTTATAACAGCCGCTCGCTCCTTATGGCTCCACGGTGCTTCCAAAAAGGGAGAGTCGGGAGCATGCACTGTTATACGTCACGACAGCCCACGTCAGGAGAGATTGGTCCCCTCATACTCAGTGATAAAGCAGCACATGTGCACCCTGTACCAGGACACAGTAGTGATGTGCAGGGAGGGCTTGCCAACCGTGACTGACACCCCCCTTCTCCCAGCCGGATCAGTTGTAGCAGGGACATTCGCCACCCCTTTGTGACATGTAACTGCAGGGCAAGGAAGAGCCTGCCACCACTGATTGGGCCAGGAGGGGGTAGCTGGGTGTCAGTTTAAAGTGTGTTTGGGCTAACACCAAGCCCCCCACCCCATGTGGCTATGGTGGGACTCCAGGGGACCCTTCAGGTCAGTGTAGCCAACGTCTAAGGCAGAATGCAGACAGATAGTACACATTGTAAGTCCAATATTCATATACAGTAGGTGCGTGCACTCACCTGTCCAGCCTGCGACACTGGAAATGGATGGAGGAGAGGAGGAGGAGGACTCCCGTATTATCAGGTTCTTGTCTCCATAACTGCATACAATGTCTTTCTGCTGCCTCAAAGTCTCCCGCCTGATACTCCCGATGAGCCAACTCCGCCAACCCTTGGAAGGAAAGCACACGTTTCGTTGGTTCTAAAGAATCATCAAAACATCCGGGGGGAAGCCAAAATTAGAAAATGGGAATAAAATAAAAAAAATAAAAAATGTAAAACAAAAAGATGAAGCATCTCAAACAAAAATATGACCGAAAGCGTCGACCTAAAAATCGGGAGGGTCTGGCGCTATCCTGATCAGAGGTCGTCCAAATTTAGCAGCATCGCTGGGCACTCGTTTGCATACCGTTTTTTTTTTTTTTTTACGTAAAATGGCTTTTTGCAAGTCATGTGATATAAATCTTTTGTTTTTCCATCATAGGCTGACTATATGCAAATTGTTTCCCTAATTCTTTTTTAAGTACTGGAATTGTATCTAAGAAATGACAGTATTAAGCAGATGAACACCTTAGGGTCACCTTCAGCCTGCAGCGCCATGTCATACAGGACAGTGAGCGTATGATCCAGATTGACTGACTGGTTTCCAATCATTAATGGGACCAGAGCGGTCTGCGGTGGCCAAAAAGGAGCCTTATACTAATGGATCCTCGGCACAGACATCATGCCCGGGAATGCCGAATTATCTACCTACTTGCACTAATTGAAGGATATAGAACCAGAACCGATTCTCCAGGAGATGGAGGATCTATATAATATAGCAGAGGTAGGAAAACTCCAGCCCTCCAGCTGTGGTGCAACTACAACTCCCATGAGGCTGGCTGACAGCCACAGGAGTGACTCCCAGAGGCAGATGCATGATGGGGTTTGTAGATTCAGCACAGGTGGAGGGCTGTAGTTTGCCCACCCCTGTAATACAGTGAGGAAAATAACGATTGGCTCCCCTGCAGATGACAGAGACATGAAGATCTATCATTTGTATCATTGGACGTTTCCTGGGGGAACCCTTGTTGGGGAGCACAGAGGTGAGACGTTTCCTGGGGGAACCCTTGTTGGGGAGCACAGAGGGGAGACGTTTCCTGGGGGAGCCCTTGTTGGGGAGCACAGAGGGGAGACGTTTCCTGGGGGAACCCTTGTTGGGGAGCACAGAGGGGAGACGTTTCCTGGGGGAACCCTTGTTGGGGAGCACAGAGGTGAGACGTTTCCTGGGGGAACCCTTGTTGGGGAGCACAGAGGGGAGACGTTTCCTGGGGGAGCCCTTGTTGGGGAGCACAGAGGGGAGACGTTTCCTGGGGGAACCCTTGTTGGGGAGCATAGAGGGGAGACGTTTCCTGGGGGAACTCTTGTTGGGGAGCACAGATGTGGCTGGGCCCCTCCATGACCTCAATGTGCTTCTTCCGCAGTTTCAGCTTTGTTGCCTTGGCTATGTTTTGGGTTGCTGTCACGCTGGAAGACCAGCCCATGACCCATCCTGAGGAGGGGGGACGGGCCCGTCCATGGGCCTTCCTGAGTGGGGACG